GCGATTTTAGGGTTTAGGGGTTTAGGGTTTAGGGTTTAGGAGTTTAGGGTTTAGGGTTTAGGGGTTTAGGGTTTAGGGTTTAGGGGTTTAGGGTTTAGGGTTTAGGGGTTTAGGGTTTAGGGTGTTATTTCAGGGGTTGCAAGTTGCCGGGGTTTTTGCGGCACATGAAGGATTTGGGAACTGAAGGCTTGATGTCCGCGGGTTCCGGTCTTCACTGTGAGTTCTCGGCTTCGACGGAGCTTTCGACGCTTGGAGTGGTGAGACGGACGCAGAAGGGATCCTGTGATGTAACTGTGGGTCTGACTCGTGCTGGACTGGTTTGCGTTTAGGGATTTAGTGGGCTGGTGTCCGATGGCTTTTGGCTGTTATAGATGCATCAACTCAAAGGCCAAAGGAGTTACTTCCCATGCCCCGGAAGCTAAACTAGCCGAAGTCAACAAAGCAGCTGGCTCCGAGTCCCAGCCTCCTCAACGATAGCTTCTTTGAGGAATATGGGTAGTTCTCCCAAAATAGGGTCCCGTTTAGGATCCTTTTTATAAGGGTGCCGTACTATATTGGGGACCCAACAAGGGACCCTAATTTTGAGAACTGCCCATATGCATGCCTGAACACCAGTTGCTATGCCAACCCAAGGCCTTTGGCTTGAGCAGCTGGTGCTAAGAATGCCGAGCCAGCCAGCGAATCCATGAGGCTTGCATGTTGAATGTCTTTTTTGGCGTGGTGAAGCAGAGTAACAGTAGATGGCCTGTTGTTCTTTCTCTCGCTCTCTCTCCCTCTCCCTGTCTCTGACGCGGTTCGGCATGTAGTTTTGAGTCAATGCGTCTGCTGAGTCTTCGCATAATAATGTTCCGGGCTATTCCTGGGGGGTGTTTCAGAGCGAGGGGAGCAGCACGTTTCATTATGATGTTTCGGAAGTGTGCAGGGAATGCTTTATGCTTCCACCGTGAGAGTATAGGCTGGGACATAATGCACGACTCATGGTTCCTGTGACTGTAGCCACATGAGGCTAATTCGTTCCTTTCAGTTGTTGCCTGGTGCGGGGATTCCGCTTGGAAGCCGGTGTGCGAAGTAGTCGCCTCCCTTGCCTCCTGCAGCCGCTGTCAGGGGAAGATGCCGCGACTGCTTGGTGCGGCGCGCTGCGTGGGTTGCGCAGGATTTAGGGCTCGAGTTTCACATCCACATTTGATGGATCAGCACAGTCTGGCAAAAGACTTGCCCGAGACAGCCGCACAAGAAGCGTCTGTGAATGCATTCTTCGCTTGTCGGAGCATGTTTCAGCTGTGTGAAGTTTGCCGTGAACTTGATGCTGAGGTGGATGCTGTCCTGTCGAGTGTTGCTCAGTTCCCAGCCAGCTAGGAAGTTGGGCTTGAGCTGTGCTCCAAATCATGGCAGCGACACATTGCATTTTTGCATCGAAGCTTGGAACAGTCGCAATAAGCCTTCTCTCTGCGATACCTACCTGTTCATCATTTGATGTGTTTCACTTGGGTCTATGCAATAAACCACTCAAGCCAAGGAGCCAAGCCGCTCTCAAAGGTGTTGCTAAACAACTTCCTTGTTGGACTGGGGCGGATGTTGGAGACGTGCGTTTGTTCCAGTTCTCTGAGAATGCTGCTCTGGACTTGCAGACGCTCAAGCATGAGTTGGGTCAGTGCGGCGCCGTCGAAGTTTGGGTAGTGGTGTTGACAACAGGATCTTCGAGTTATTTGTGGTTTGATCAAGAACATCACCCGCACAATGTGGAGCTCTGCCGATGCTTACGAGATGATCTGCAGCTCGAGCTGAACTTCGCTGTGTGCCCTACTTCCGAGAAAGCGAAAGACGATTGGCCGGATGCAGGTACGCTGCAACTGACACTTGGCTTGCTGTGAGGCTCAGGTATATGTTTGCTACCTTGAGTATGTCTGTGCATGTTCAGGGGTGTCAGCAGAAACCCAGGACGGACCGCCATCAGAAAGTGTTCCACCAGTTTTGGCCAGCCGGGCAGGGCAGTGTGAAGGTGTGGCACGGGTTCTCCTCGCAAGAAACACTTCCCAAAGCCAGCATCGTCAGCTTGATCTACAACCCGGGTGTTCCCGCAGTCGCACCAACTTACCCATCCAAGCGGACATTGTCATGCAGGGCAGTCTTTACCGTTGCAGCTGTGTGCCTGAATTTGGTTTTGGCGGGCTGTCTATATGGTCTACATGAACGCGAGGTGTTGACAAGAGAAAGCCTTGAGAGGCTCTCAAAGAATCTGCAAGAAGAGCGTACGGAGTCAATTCGTCTCATCACTGAGCTGGAGAAGGAGACTGCTGCACATAATCAGGCAGCGGCGAATCTAAAGACAGAGCAGGCCAAGACGCAACGCCTGTCACAGGAACTAGACGCTTCACAGTCTCGTGGTGATCGCCTCTCAAAGCAGCTCGCCGAGGTCAAGGCTGAGAAAGGAGAGTTGGGCAAACAGGTTGAGCTGCTGACGGCTGCAAGCAAACGTGATGCAGATGCCAAGATCGAAGCAGATGGTCGTGTGTTGCAACACGAGACCCAGATGAAGCAGCTTTCGGAGCAGCTCGACAAAGAAAAAGCCGACAACGCCCGTCTCGCGAAGGAGCTGGATTCCGAAACCTCTGCACGCAAGCGCACTCAACAGCAACTACAGCTGCAAACGGACTCCTGTAGAGAAGTTGCACGAAAGCTGAAGGAGAGCCAGAGCGAAAATGCACGCTTGGCCAAGAAGTTGGCCGCCGCGCAAGAGACTCCAATTGAACCCTACTTGACCGAGTGGATTGGCCCCCGCCCCCCCTTGCAGGGATGACCGGTGATGTCGGAGGCAGGTGCGTCGCAAGCTGCTGTAGTACGGCACTGTGATGGACACTTGCATGCATCGTGCCACGAACCAGACGAACTTGGTGCTACCACGCCGCAGATCGCCAAACATCGCAAGGCCTAGGCAATCAATGTTACAGGATGTGTTTCACCACAGTCTAGAGTGTCCTTTCCAGTGGTCGTGAGCATTGCGATCTACCTCGCTCGTTCCAGTTGATATTTCGTGGCAAGCTGTTCTGCAGCTCACTTCAATTCGGCCAGCTGTCGTGGGGAGGATGTAAAACTTTGGTTGTTGTTCACTGTTCGTCTTTCAATCCCTGCCACATGTTACGCAAGTGTTCCCGCCTCTAAAGGTATGTGTCATCGAGGCGTGCTAGTCGCTACAGTAGCTTGTCTCCGGGTTTTTCATAATGGCGAAGATCTAGCTTCTACAGACAGAACCGAAGACCGAATCGCCTGGAGATGATTGTGCCAGACTTTCTGCCCACCGCTTAAGTGACATGGTCGTCACTAGTTGTACAGCTGTAGCTTCCAGATGATGCGCGCACGGGAAGACCCAAAACGGGAAATCAGCCTGGAGTTCACAGCCTGGTCGCAGACTGCAATTTCCATGTGACGGTGCCATGTCCACTTGATTTGTGCCGTTTGCTTGGTGAGTTGGCGCAGGTTCTGAGCCATCTAGCACCCAAAGGGTCCAAAGTACCTATATAGTAGAATGCGGAGTTTCTATATTAGGAATTGTTATTATGATTTGGGAAAGTATCCCCGATAACAGTATCTAGGACCCTTTGGGGCAAGTGTTGGTGTGTCCTGCTGCCCAGCTTCATCTGCATGGCAGCGACCCACTGCATCTTTGCATCGAGGCTTGGCGCATCCCATGCTATGAGGCACATGTATCATCGGTGCAGATATAGGAGCCTAGAACATCCTAGAACTGTAGCTTCCAAGTTCTCGCGCCAGTTGTCTTTTCTTCCTTGCCAAGGGCTTGTGGCAAGAGTACCAGCCAAGGAGCAAAGCAGCTCTAGCAGGTGTTGCTAGAGCGCTTCCTGATTGGACCGGGGCTGACCTTGCAGACGTACGTCTCTTCCAGTTCTCCGAGAGTGCTGATCTGGACCTGCGAAAGCTCAATCGCGTACTGGCCCAGAGTGACGGGCTTGTAATTTGGGTGGTGCTTCTGGTGACAGGGGAGGCCAGCTATCTCTGGTTCGATCCCTCCCATCACCCCCGAAACTTAGATAGCCAATGGGAGAACTTTAAACTTTTTGGCCTTATGTAATAGGTCTATCCTAAAAAGTTTGAACTTTTTTGGGCCTGGTCGTTGAAGAAGAGAGGAAATGTAGAGCTCTGCCGATTCTTATTGAATGAGCTGCAGCTGGAGCTGAACTTTGTCGTGTGTCCCACAGATGCAACAGCCAAAGCCTTTTGGCCAGTGGGCCCGCTTCAGCCGATACTTGGTTTTCACGTAGGATCTGCCAGTTCCTTGTCCTCCCCGAGTGGTCCCATTATAGTAGGGTAAGGCAGATAATACCTATAGTCTCCATTGTAGTTCCTTGTTCAATTGGTTTAACCAACTATATATTAAGGATTTTATAAGGTATCCTCAAAAAAGAACTACAATGGAGACTACAGGTATTCTGCTTCAGTTGATGGCGTCGCCAGCCGAGGACCGATTTCCTTCGAGAAGTATTCCGCAGCTTTTGGCCCCGCGAGCTGAACAGGGTAAAGGTATGGCTCAAGTTTGACTCGAACGAAACTCTTGCGGAGGCAGATGTCGTGACTTTGAGTCGCAACGCCTGTGTATCATCAGTGACACCTGACCACTCAGAGAAGGGGAACCGGAAGGTTGTTGGCTTCCTTGCTGTTTGCCTCGGCTTCGCGCTGGCGGGATTGCTGGTCCTGGTTTGGCTGCTGAACATCGAAAGCAACAAGAATGCGAAGCTCGCCGGGCAGCTGGAAGAGGAGATGTTTGCACGTGAGAACGCGCAGAAAGAGGTGCAGAAACTTCAGGCTTCAGAGCATCACCTTGCGATGCAGCTGCAAGGCCAGACATCCGAGGGTCAACGTCTCGCCGCCAAGCTGGCGGCTTGCGAGGCGGTGGAGAACAGCACGGCTTCCCACTGGTTGGTTGACAAGTTCTTCGGATTGTTTCGCCAGAGGAAGAATCCCAAAGGGTCCTAGATACTGTTATGGGGGATACTTTCCCAAATAATAATAACAATTCCTAATATAAAAACCCTACATTTTACCATATAGGTACTTTAGACCCTTTGAGAATGACAGACGACGAGTCCGCGGCCTGCTGTCCAGCACTAGCCTGGGCGCGTTGTAGTACGACCGGGCCGCATGTTCAATTCCATGCGTGGCGTCATTGCACCTCTTCAGCTTTGCTGACGTCGGCATAGGCACAGGTCGTTCGATACGTGCACTAGTTCTATACACGACAGTCTACCCTTCCAATACACTTGTTCTGAGGTCTACCCATCTACTGCGTCTTACACTACTCATACTTGCACATTTGAACCGATGTCCGACACGGTGCAAGGTTTCAGAGTTATCGTCTTTCAGACGATTGTTGCAAGGGAGACTCGTTGAAGAGGAAAAAAGAAACTGCATGCTGCGCCAGTGCAAGGTCTGTGCATCGAAGCTGCCGGAAGCCGCACGGTGTCAGTGTGTGCCTATGTGCGCGTAGTTTCCTGTATCGCTTTCGTGCAGAGCATGACACCAGGACCTGGATGTATGCGGACGCCGTCGCATCTCTGCAGAGTTCGGCCCAGAGGTTCCCCGAAGGTGTCCTGTTCAGCTCCGGTTCGCAGCCATGGCCGCAAAGCATCAGCCGAGCGTGGCGGTGGAGCTGCGCGAAGACCGGAGCCTGGTGATAACCTGGAAAGATGTCCAGCCTGATGCCATGGTGAAGCTGGAGTACTATGACCCTGCAACCCCGATGCTGGAGCCCGAGCATACGAGCACTCATCGTTGCAGTGGTCCCGGCTTGCACTTGGAGCCTGTGAGGCCAGAGGCTTGCACTCTCAAAGTAGCCTTAGAAATTGATGCCGAAGTTGTTGCAAAGACCCAGACCACTTGGGATCACCAGTTCCCCGACATGATGGATTGTGTTTTGGACCTGGAGAAGCGCGCTGAGAAGTTATCCAAGCAGATCCGCGATGCTCGCGAATTCCTCAGATCTACTCGCATCTTGGTTGTTGGAGGCCAGCACCACGGCAAGTCCAGCTTCATCAATCACATGTACCGCTGCTTGACGAAGGACCTGGATGCCAACGACCAGATGGAGTCGGCTCCTGCTGGCGCGGCCGAGAATACCCAAGCCATCCTTGAATGCAAGGTCGCGGAGCTGTCTTTCCTCGACACACCAGCCTTCGCCAACATGGGCACCGACATGGCGAGAGTCTTCGAGTCCGTGCTGAAAAGGCAGGTGGCTGATGGAACTCGACGCGCAGGCATGGAGCAGCGTCAGTCGTGGTTCTTCGATGGATTTCCTCCCGCTGCCGCCATCGTGGTCATGTCGCTTTGCCACTGGCGCGACCAGCCAGACGAAATGCAGCGTTACTTGGCCGAAATGTCGAACAAGTTGAAGCATGCATCAGATGGGCAGGTGGTTTTCCCCTTCGTTGTGGCCGCCACGCATCGTGACGAGTTCCTGCGCGACTGCAAGGCCGAGAAGCCACATGAGGAGTTGAAGGCAGTTCTGCAGAACATGAGGAAGTCATCCAACTGCAACCATGTCTTCGCAATTGCGAACTACCAGGCGGGCAGCAAGGGCAGCGCCGTCATGAACGAGCAGACATTCAAGCTGTTGTCGCAGCTTTTCGTGCATGCTGCTTATCAAGACACCGGCAAGGCAGTGGCAGCACAAAATGACGCTGCTGTATTCCAGCTTCTTGGGTCCATCATTGTTGCCTTCATTGTCTTCCTCCTTGCGCTAGCAATAAAAGGGGCAAAGTGATATTGGCCGTGGGCATGCCAGTACGCTGGGCAAGTTGTAGTACGACTGGGCCGCTTTTCTCTGCCAATCATGCAAGGCGCCTGAAGTTGCGGGGCAGACGCTGTCCGGAGTTTTGAAAGTGAATCATGTTGCTATAACATCTCCTTGTCCGGACGGGTCTGCCCTTCTTTCGCCGACTGTAGCATCAGTTCACTTCGAAAATCGATTCTATCAGCTGGTTCCTGCACTATCGGTCGTATATGGTTTTGCATGCGAGGCCTTCGTTTCAACAGTGTCCCATGTTAGGCTGAGCAAAAGCAGAAGTTCAAGCCACGTGTTTCTAACCTGGTACAGAGTGAGGACTCTCAGGTTTTTTGGCCAGCTGATTGCACCCCGCCTTCTGCATCCATTTGAATGATCACTGCCTCCAGTTTCCAGAGATGACAGCCAAAGGGAAGCTCGGTAGTCAAAACAAGGCACCGGTATCGATGTTTTTGTGCATTCTGCCCACCTGCGATGTTTAAGCAGCTTCCTGAAGAGAACGTGCTGCCGAGTCTGTTGGTGCCGCTAAGTGCGTGTGTGCTTCATCCCTGTGTCTCCCTGTTTCTTCCGATGCTTCAAGATCCAAGTGTCTATGCATGATACCAATATGCCAGGTCTACATCGAGGCAGTGGATTCCAGATGGACGGACGGTTTCGGCATAGGCGCACATCCAGCCTGCGCTCAGATGACGGTTCGGATGCGAGTTTCCGTAGTCTCTGTTCGATTTGATATCAAGGCTCGAGTCTGGCTGGAGTAAGTCCGCATGAGCAAGCAAGACTGATCGTCCGTTTTCGATGCTTTCGGGCAACGATCTGCAGCGAGTAGGACTACAGGAGTCTTAAGGTTCTACCTATAGTCTCCATTGTAGTTCCTTGTTTTGGTTTAACCAACTATATATTAAGGATGTTATAAGGTATCCTCAAAAAAGAACTACAATGGAGACTACAGGTAGTTTGCTGTGCACCCGGACATTGCGCAGGTGTCGGCCTCCACCCTTCGCGGAAACATGGCCGATTCAGATGGGTGGTTGTCAAAATTATGGTCCCTTTTTGGGTCCTTATTATAATACGGCACCTATTATTTAGGGTACCCATAAAGGGACCATAATTTTGACAACCACCCAGATAGATCCGCTGCCTTACCTGTTCTCAAACAGTCCTGGCACAGCTCCTGCGGCCGAAGGTCGTCTTTGTCTGCCTGTTTGTGAGCTCCTGTACACCTTTAACCTCCCTCAAAAATCCCAAACCCTAAACCCTAAACCCTAAATCCCAAACCTTAAACCTTAAACCCTAAACCCTAAACCCTAAACCCTAAACCCTAAATCCCAAATCTTAAACCCTAAACCCTAAACCCTAAACCCCACTGCAAAGCCATGGCTGCCATGGTACTCCCTAAGTCCTGAGGAACAACTGCCTCGTGGCGGACCTCGGCGGCTTCTACGAGGAGCCCGGCATAGCTGCTGATGTGGGATTGTTGCAGAGAACCTGACAAGTCACACGTCACATGCAGCGAATTTGAGAGTGCAGTGGTTTAGGGTTTAGTGTCCACTGAGAAAGTACAGCAGCGCTTGATACTGCGGGCAAGCAGAGACAAACTGTATCGAGACACGATTTCCGCAGACTTCGGAAACCGTTATTCTGCAAGGCTGCAGGTGCCTACCATGATATTCGAGCCTACACGGAAAGGCCGTCTATGAATATGAGTATGCTAAACCCCCTCAAGCCGTGAAACCAGAACACATACCTAGGCCGTCATCTACCCTAAACCCTAAAGCCTCAACCCTAAACCCTGAACCCTAAACCCTAAATCTACACTCTGTCAGACCCTACATGCCTACAGTGAGGGACCAGAATAACCCCCGCTTTGAGGGCACCAAAAAGGGAGGGCCCTGGTAGGACTTTAAGCTTCCTGTTAGGGTTTAGGGTTTAGGGTTCACAGTTTAGGGTTTAGGGTTTAGGGTTTAGGGTTCATAGTTTAGGGTTTAGGGTTAACTTTGAACCCTCGGCCTTCAACCCTCAATCTTAAAGCTTATGAACCCCAAACACCATAAACATAAGTCTCAAACCTTGTAAAAACTTCAAACCCCCTAAACATCAATCTCATAATAAACCTCACACAAACCTCAAACCCCATCACCATCAATCTTATAATAAACCTCACAAAACCTCAAACCCCATGACCATCCATCTTAAAACTCACTACACACCTCAAACCCCATGACCGTCCATCTTAAGCCTCACAAAAAACCTCAAACCCTCAATCTTAAACCTCACTAAAAATCTCAAACCCCATGACCGTCCATCTTAAACCTCACAAAAAACCTCAAACCCCATAACCCTCAATCTTAAACCTCACTAAAAACCTCAAACCCCATACCTCTCAATATCCCTGACTCTTAAGCCTCCAAGCCTCCAAGCCTTGCGTAGCTTTGGGTTTTGGCAACATGGCGGAGGCGCTGGCCTGGGAGTCTCTGCCCGACTGCTGGCCACCGGGCGACAACCAATCATCAAGCACCTAAGTTAGTGTTTAGGGTTTAGGGTTTAGGATTTAGGGTTTAGGGTTTAGGGTTTAGGGTTTAGGGTTTAGGGTAGTTCTCTAAATTAGGGTCCCTTTTTTGGTACCCAAAATAGTACTGACGGGGTTTGGCGTTTATGGGTTTATGGGCTTGGGGACTATACCCGTAGGCCCTAAAGTAGTTCCTTTTGGGGGTTCATATATAAAATCCTGTAAGGTAACCCCAAAAAGGAATACTAAAGATTCAGACCTCTATGGGTGGTTCTCTAAATTAGGGTCCTTTTTTAGGTCCCCAAAATATTACGGCACCCTTGCAAAATGGACCCTAAAAGGGACCCTAATTTAACACCATATACTAGCGGTAGCTTTAGGGTTTATAGGGTTTAGGGTATCCTTACTACTTAAGGGTAGTGTATTGTAGCATAATTAAACATAGAATAACGGTAGCGAAACACTTCATACTGTTGATAGTTATGGACCTGGTACGGTTTCTTATGGGCCTTATGAGGTTTAATAAGGATTCAATTTAAAGTCATAATGGTATTTTTTTAGCAAAATAAAGCATAAAATAAAAGTAGCGACAAACTTTAGTGTCAGAGTGAAAGTAGAAGGGTAGTTTCTTACACAAGTAGAATAAGTGTTGCAAGTTTGGTCCTGGTTTCCTGGTTGCACCCTGCAGTCATCTTACAGCCGCAGAGACGATCACGATGGGCATCAACAGAAGAGCAACGAGCAGAGCGCATACAGAAAGAAAGCGTGATCACAATGATCGTCATGCTCGTTATGACAAGTTTAAGAATGCCTCAGGTCAAACGGCGACTAACATCATACCTTGAATGTTTAGGACCATGACGAGCAGTCACGGTTTACTTGCGGCGCAGAATTGAGGCTTCTTGGCTACGACTGTCGCGTGAAGCTAGGTGCCGAGGGCAGGTGCGCCCTTGGAAGTTTCACGGATTCGCTGCATGAGCTTTCGGGCTACCTGGGACTTGGGCTGCAGGGTGTTGCCCAGACCTTCCGAAATCCCTTACTTAAGAAATATATAATTACCTTAAATTATGTTCGGGAGACTTAGTATGGTTTATGGTAGATGCCTTAACTATGGGATCTTGGAAGGTCTGGGTGGGTTTGTGTTGGGGTCTGTGGGACTTGGAGTGCAAGGTTTTGGCTTTCCTTTGGGGCTCTGGAGCTTGGACCCAGGGCTTGGTGGCGAAGAGTGTGGCCTTTCAGGGCTCCTTTACATAAGTTGGGTTTAGGGCTTAGGGTTTATAGGGTTGTTGCTTTAAAGGGCTCCTTTACGTAAGTTGGGTTTAGGGTTTAGGGTTTATAGGGTTGTTGCTTTAAAGGGCTCCTCTACATAGGTTGGGTTTCGGGTTTAGGGTTTATAGGGTTGTTGCTTTAAAGGGCTCCTTTACATAAGTTGGGTTTAGGGTTTAGGGTTTATAGGATTGTTGCTTTAAAGGGCTCCTCTACATA